TTCGTGGCAGCTGATACGTTATCGTAAATATTGGGCAGCACATTATTGATTCATTGATAACGGTGGTTACTTTCTAAGCGCAGATTTTTATTTGAATATTATAGGAGCATTTTTTTTGAGTTTATAGCGACTATAAAATCGTGGACATTGGTATTGTAATCTGAGCATCTTGACCTTTGGAAACAGATAAAAATAAAATAGATTTGAAATATAACGACATATTTTACGATAAGCGATGATTCATAGCTACATATTGTGAAGAGGGTATCTCAGAAACGAATGATTACCAGGAGTCTTAATAGAATATTTCAAGACCATTATTAAGGAAGAAGAAGGAATGGTAACTGTTCGAACCAGTTTGAACTCAATTCACTTTAAAGGAGTGAATAAAAGTTTCTTAATCCTATCCTGCAACTAACATTAGGTAGTACGACTTAGGACGAGGTAGGACTTACAAGGTTCGGCTTAACCAATTGCAGACTCAGAGAGTATGGTTTTGTAAATGTCCAAAAATACTCAAATAAACATATCTTCTTCTTTTGTTGAGTTTTTGTTGAGTTGAAAAACTCCCATAACATTATTCAAATGCTCTATTGAGGCAAACGGGAGGCTTAAACGTTATTCTCACAACACCTACTTCGAGCTTAAAATGTGTGTAGAGGACCTCACATAGCAGTCATTACCATATTGAATGGAGTGCAGGCGGAAACACGGCCAGTCGTAAACGTCAACTAATGGTTGCACACAAATGCACCAAAACTTGCTTAGCTAATGCATTAGCGAAGGTGCGGGACTGTGGATGCTGAGGAAACAGATGTGGCAAACGTATTTTTGCAGTAATTAAACTAAACTGTATAACTAATAGTTAATAAAGACTTCAGTTCTATATTAATCTTTGTTACTCCATTGTGCTGATGCTTGGGTTCGATTCCCGGTCGGACCAAATGTCTGTATGATATGCAAATAGTGCCGGAGTCTGGGTGTTTTCTATGTATGTATTTATAAGAAAAATTAAGTATTCTATCATTCAATCCAACTTTCATAGTTACAAGCTATGCTTAGTTTGAAACTAGATGGCGTTGAGTGTCAAATATCCGAAAATATTATATTATATTATTATTAGTTTCATAGCATACAACATGTTTCTCATAATTTATAATATGAATGCATGTTGAGATACAAAATTAAATTGGTCATGTTTAGGATGGCAGTATGGCAAAGTTATTGTAATACTGAGTTAAACTTTGCATTATAGTTCCACACGCACAGACAACTTTGTTGTGGTCCCTTACCACTTGTTCATTAAAAATTATCTTCGAAACTTAATTATAATCAAGCCACTTATTTCTCAGGAACCTACTAAAGGCTGGCAAAACGCTGTTTTTATACATTTTTACCTACTACTTCAGAACAAAAATGAGTAATGCTAAACAAGTTCATTCTAGAAGTGTAGCTCCTTCTTTTTATTCATATCTGTTTTCTAGTGCTAAGACACAAAAAAACTATTATATTTTTATTTAAAAAGATCTACAACCGGTTTGTTCTTGTTTCAAGCATTCAAAAGAAAAAAAACTACCTTTGACACCAGTCCATTTTATGCTCTTTATAACCTGGAGCCACAACAGCTTACTTAAATAGGTAAATCTGTCAATGAAAAGTCCTTACAGATCATTTCCACATCTAGACACCTTGATCGCCAGGTATGCAGGCCAATGCAACAGCCCACATAAACAAACACCTATCATCAGTTCGCTATAGGAAGTACAATTTATCGCCCACGTACTGATGAATATGATTTGAGAAATTAATAATTTCTAAAGAGTCGTTCACAAGAATATAAAAAAATAGTGGTAATCATTAAATGATTATTATAAGATCTTATTTAAGATGCAAAACAGAACTAAAGAAATAAAGTATAGAATAGAAGAATACACAAGCTATAGAAGCATGACCTCGTAAAATTTAACTCGTAGAAACCTCATAGCACGTAATGACATGACCGAAGATAAAATGGTATGTCGTCACCGATTAACGAACTGGATATTTTGAACCTAAGAAATTGAGTAGCCCTTACAAGAAAATGTAAGGGCTGTATTTAAATTAATCAAGCGGAAATATATTCAACTACTACATCGAGCGTTGAATTAAGGCATTCTCAAGTAAACAAGTAATTGCCATAGGTCAGTATTTAGTAACTTAAACGAACTCTTAAAAACGATTTACACATAATTATATATATATATATATATATAATATTTAGCTGAGCTAAATTATTTGGGTAACCAATGTAAATTAATAATGTTTTAAATATTGAACATGCAATGAGTGTTAAATTTCGATAATGAATTTTAGAACGTACATTTTGGAATATCGCGAGTAGTTACCGAACAGTACTTATAGCACAAGTTTAATACCGGGATTTTAAAATGTGTGACACTTAGAGTTGATTGGTGGCTTGGACACTAACTTTACTTTTTACTCAACTAAGAATCTCTATACACATGCAACCATGCAAGAGTAAAGAAATCGAAAACTAACACATAATAACGATAAGCCATTGTTTTGGTAAATATTACTCTCTTCTTCTCTTGCAAACACTGTTTATTATTAGAGGTTATGGCTCACGCGGGATTTCACAATAAGGCAAGAATAGAATATCTATAAGTATAATTTCAATTCTATTCAAAATATTTCTAAATACAAACAAAAATTGATCAATCAGTCGAATTGAAAACCTCCTTTTTGAAGACGGTTGAAAATAGATACCAGATCCGTCTGATGGGAAACAGATAATGGAATAAATTATAAATACTCAAAATACTAGTGTCGTCACGGTAATGACGTAATTAATATTTTACTACGTAGCGTTAAAGTGATATCTATAGGATACCTATCCCTCTAACTCAACGTAGCAGCAGAAATAAGAAAGAATACTAGTACAGATTTTTGTATACTGTCTTCTGTAGAGCGAAGATTAAATGTAGAATTTTATAAATTCTGCTAACTGGAATTAGTTTGTATGTACAGACCCTTACATTTATTAAAGACAGTCGGCTAATTGAATTGTAGATGAGCTAAAACAATCACAATATTGCGACGGTTTCTATCATAAACGTTTTATTTGTCTTATCTCAAATGATCGGCAGCATATTGTTGATTCAATCAGGTTGCTTTTATTGACTATCATGGTTTTTAATATAGTTTTACGGGGAGTTACAAGTCGCAGCTCGTAAAGTGAATACAGAGATGTAGTTTTGCCTTTGTCTTTATCAACTACTATAATTATAATGTGTACTGATTGGTGAGAAAGTGAGGGAATTTGTGAGTGAGACACGACATGTGTTCTAATTTATTTAAAAGACATTATTAACAATGGGCTTACTGACAATATGAATAATGAATATTTTAAAAGATTGTCTTATGTAATTAACAATTATTTATATTACTGTCAAATTGTCTGGTTAATAGTATGATTATTTATTCTCAATTTAAATATTATATTTGGCTAAGCAGATCGAGCAGAAATCATAAACAAATTTGAAATGTATATTTTTCAATAGCGTATCGTATTTATTATCCCTATTTAAACAAATGTAGCGCGCGGAGGCATCGTAGAAAAACAGGAGAAAGCTAAAATAAGCTATACACATAAGCTATGAAATTAAATATTATGTAGAAACGGCTACAAAATGTTATACAATGACAGTTAAAGTTATACTGATAAATGAAAAAAGCGATACATTCAGAATGGTCGAAATTCGACCGCCATACGTCAGTAGTTCTCTAGCTATGTAGTTATGAAAATCGTTTTCACTGATGATAAAATCCAACTATGTAAATGTTTACCACATATAAAGAAGAGCATTAACGAACTTTAATCATCTAAATATACAGCCAAGGCTGAATTAATATAAGGATTTGTAGTTTGTACTAAGGAGTCATTAAAACTGTAGAGTGGTTTATACTGATATAAATTTTAATTTGCCGGCACATGTGGTGTATGGCAATGCGAATATTAAATTATTCGTAATGGAGCTCTATTTAATGTCTGGTAAATCGGGATGGGAAGAAAATATAAATACACATTGGGTTCATTGGATGGAAAGGGCTTTTAAATTATTTATTATCATCTTTAAAACAAAGTAGAATCTTTACTGTTAGCAAAATACAGAACTTTTACATGGAGCGGTCTACTATCATCTCTCATATCAGCACACTGAGTAGGACATGGGTCCACGTAATGGTGGACTTTCTAAGCCCTTCAGTCCCGAGGTCCCTAATTCTCCTAATTCTTCGAATTATAGGTCTTGTCTGAGAACCCTCTAAGTTGGTAATCATGAGTTATGTGGATTCTTTCATATTTTGTAAATAAACATGGCGTAAGTACCCATAGCTGGTTTAGCAACTTTGAAAATAGACTTCTTATTATGTTATATGGTTAAATATCACAACCTGGATGACCGGTCTTGATGGTATTTTTTTTGGTAAATTTTGAGTACCCTGAATTGGACTTGACTGTAGTTTAAAACCACTTGAAATCTAGTACAGTATAATTTCGGTACCATAAACAAGGCACAGTTTGGTCATTTCGCCTTCTAAGTTAAAACACCCAGGCCCCATAAACTCGAATATTTTCCAGATTCGCCATAAACGTAAGCGTGTTAGCGACATGCTTGGCCATAAACATAGAATATTCACAAGAACGTTGTTTCACTATAGGGCTGACAACTACCATTCAAAACAAATTAATAAAATGAACTACAAAACCTTTTAAAGATGTATTTTATGTGCGTCTTCACGGATGCATAAAATAGTGGATTTTTAACTTAAGATCTGTTATGTGATTTGAGTGTGTTCTAGACAGGCTAGCCTGAGATGAGCAGGGTTACCTGTAGCTGCAATTAAAGCAGGGCCGAGAGAGCAGTGCGACAAATTCAACACTCACTCTTCTGAAATGGAAAATGCATAGCTTTCTTAGCTTGAAAATGCTTAGCTGCATTCTATGATGTGTTCCCCTGTTGAGCAAAAGGCGATTCAGGTCTGTCATGGTTCTTGGAACTTTTTTCCTTGCCTACACTCGTAATAGTGCCTAGAGCATGAACAATGTGTGATGTTAGTTTGTCTGTGGCAGGAAGAAATACTTAGATAATAACACATAACTTAAAGAATAACACAAAGATATTAAAACATACTAACATTAAATTTTTGTGACAACCCTAGGTGAACAGGAATGGTGAACGGAAGCGGAGCGCGGGACAAGAACGCGTTGTTCGCTATATTTAGAGCCTGGATCAGTAACGGCATGGCGAGCTGGATAGTTTCGAGGGTTGAATGAGTGGATTGACTTGAAGAAGATTGCAGCCAGCAAGTTATCTAACAGGAATATTCAATGATCTTAACTTGAAAGTGAAGCAAATTTTGCGAGGTCAGCTTCTGATCGAATTTGTATCTGTTATGGCATAAATAAATGCTATAAATACAGAAGTAAGCATTAAACTCGAGAAAAAAGTCTAACGAGTAAGTAAATACAAAAGTTTGAGTTTAACTATTTCTACACTTGGAACGATATCTTCTAATGCTGGGTAGTCTTAAATGTCGTTGTTACCCATTGCTTAAAATTGATCAATTTAATGTCTATTTGATAAGTAATAATAATAGTAATAAAGTATAAAGTAATCTTTATTTACTTCAATTCTTACATTTACACTTAGCTTAAGCACAGCACATAATACATAATATGCACAGGTATAACAGAGCTTAAGTAGTAATATGATCACAAATACCGGTCAGTTACGACAGACTCCTAAACTAGGTAAGAAATCCGTATCTTAGGAGTCGTGTAATTTCTAGATAACAATTTACACAACGTCATAGATGTATTCAATAGGATGTGCACAGTAACAGTTATGGAGAACATTGAGAAACATCATGTGTAATGCCTGTAGACAGTTATGAAAATGCAACGATAAGCCTTTCTGTGTTATCATATGACAACTTCTGCAAATAGACCGCAAGTGTATACTTGTAGTAATTTACTTAACGTGCATGGTGTGTCAAATTTTGGGATCAAGACTTTAGTTAAGAAACAAAACACGTTTTATTAACGAAGTAAACTAAAAAGTCTAAAAGAGTTCTACTGCACACTTCCTGGCTCTTCATCAAATCTCAATCTGTTGGCTTTGACCGAAAGTCAAATTGTATTAACAGTTTATAGCTCCAATATGCTAAATTATATGATATAAAAAATACATATATGTACATACAAAGTTTCATTTCAATATCAAAGTTAGAAATTTACTATCAGAACTTGTTTAAATAGTCACAAGTAAAGCTATTTAAAGCGTTTTAATAAAAACCCAGCGATAATACCAAACGGAAATCTGCTATCTACAGATAGTCAGTGATCGAACCTCGAACCATTTGATACGAGACCACAACGGAAATGGCCAAGCCATTGACTTTTTCTATACTATAGCGAAAGACATCTTAAGACGTCTCATCGCAACACGACGTTTATAGGACTAAAAAAGTGGTTAAACGATAGCTTTTAACATATTAGCTGTCATTAAAGTAGAACTATTTTCTGAGATGGGTTAGACCTTGGCTGGTTTAACATGCTTGTGTTTAAGATTCACTATTGTTGAGAACATATTCTTAGAGGAATACACAGAGGAAAGAAAAGTCCTTTGATGGGATATTATAATATCTGCATTTGTGACTTCCATATTTGAGAACACTAGCAGGAGACATTAATAAAAATCTAATTCAACATCTTCAGTTTGTAGATATAGTATTCCGATAGATAGTAAATGATGGTCGATTTAGAGAGCGATAAACATCGCCACACTCATTTAAGTCAAGTGAAGACTATTCTATTACATTTATTTGAAAAATATACACAAGTATCTCAAAAAATGAGTTCCGAAGTGGAATAATTTGCTAAGGAATATTAAAAAAAACTTTTAATAAACAAAAGATAAAAATAACCGTATAATGCAGTCAACAAATAAACGAAATAACAAAATCATCATAAGAACACGCCAAAAGGCAAGCAGGCGTAAAAAATCTCGCATTAAATCCAATTCACGATACGAACAAACTGTAATCTAAAAGAAATCGAAACATCCAAAGAAAATTGTTCGTATTCTTACAATGCGTATTGTAATGGCATCACGTCCAATAATCGACGCTATTATGACATACACGAGAATTGAACCTAAGTATAATCCAATATTTATACCAACCAATATTAAAGGCGTTGAGAATTTCTACAGATCAGGTCGACCTCTCTCTCTCATACTGCATGCATGCATTGGAATAATGAAAGGGATGGAAAGCTCGAGTATTTTGGTCCGTTTCGTAGGTGTTCGGTCATGTTTGCACACCGAGGGTGTGCATCGACAGGTAAATTCAACAAAGCAGTGGGAGTTTGTGTTTATTATAAGAAATACCTTAACGCAGGTAGAAGTCATTGTACGGACCCCGCCTAGCGAATAATAGAGTTTGGGAAATAGTACAATGAATAAAGTAATTTATGTCGGTTGGGATAACATTTTACGATTTTCGGAAACGGTTCTACCTGTATGGGTTTTTTGGACAATCCATGTTTTGGGTGTTGTTTCGTTTCGGTTCTAAACTTGTTTTTGTTTGTTTTCCAACCAATTTGTGATTATAAAGACGTGTCTATCTACATCTGTTGTATCTGTGTAGCGGTATACCTAATTGAGTCACTCATTACGGCGATGTTAATCTACGCATCGAATTGTACAATAATGAGTTCATTTACCGTGCCGTCAACTTATGAATATTTAAGATTCTCACATTTTCGTGGGTAGGTGTAAAAAGTCGTGCTTTACGACGACGTTTAATAGCGCGGAGCGAACCTTATCGTAGGGCAAACGTGCACTAGTGCTTAATGTAATCTTTAATAGTTCCATTAAAACATCAATAAGTAAGTACTTCTACACGCGGTTGCACAATGCTGATCGGTGTATCAATTTTGAATATTTAAAGGTGTGAAATCGTGTAAAATCAACACTCTGTATATTTGGTTCAATCAAAACACTCTGCTCTTTATTCCTTACAATTTAGGGTTGATAGTTGAAATAAATACGTATTGATAGATTTTACGTGAAACGAGGAGTGCGGAATATATTGTAATATTATTTGTATGCATTGTGGTGCTAATACGAGGAATATGTTCAATAGAGATCTACCTGAATATAACGTAGTGTGGCACCTGTTGGTTTTGTGAGTAGAGAAGTAGAGAAGAATAAAAGAAAGAAATTGAAGTGTATTGAACAAATTGTAGCGCCGCGTGAAGATGCCGTACAAACTATTAATTCAAGATGTTATTTCTTTTAATACAGGGGTATGGACCACCAATTGGTTACTGTCAATTTTGAAGAATACAAATGGTTGCAGTTATTCAGTGAATCGCTTATAAAAAAAACTTTTTACCTTAGATCTTGTAAAATGAGTGTAATTCAATTATTTAATTAATACAATTGATTTTCGAGTCAAGGGATGTTTGCGATGTAAATACGTGACTGCTGCTTAGCTGCATTCAATGTTTTTTTTATTCTAGTTTACTTTTTTTCTGTTGCATTATAATTATAAACATTTTTTGGACTATAGCAGCAATCCACTTGACAAAAATATCAGGACTCTTCCAAACCAGCAAATCATGTGGTTTCAGACAACATCAAACTTTCAACTTTAAAGTTAAGTCGTAAAGAGTAGTTGGTTACCTTTTGTGGTTTCAACTGGTGTAGTGTGTTATTGTTTTTATGATTACAATGAGAAGAAACTCTTAAGTTATTCTTAGTTCCTAAGAAGTACAAGAATATAGTAACTTTGTTATGAATACTTTGGATGTGCTCTTAAATTACTCCACAGTTAGGGCGCTTTCTTTTCAACAATAAAGTAATAATTACATTCAAAGTATTAAAGAAATCGTTATCGTGTTATTTCAAGGACATCCATGAAGGTATTACACGGCTAAAGTATTGAACAAAAGAATTTTACAACTTTCCAAAAACCTAATCTTGATTGATTTGATATCTATAATGTAAATAATTGAATTATAAAACAATTCTAGATAATATAGGTACTAATAAACATATTTCTTTTCTATATAGGATTAGCGGGGCCCGCTGTGCCGCTTCGCATACCCATGCATTTTTAGTGTTCTGTATTTTTTACAAGTAGTGCTTTAAAAGAAACTTCTATAAATTACTGGCGCAGAACCCTAATAATTATTTTAGTTACTAGTTTCTTGTAGTCTAAACTTCTACCTGTAGGTTTAGTTTTTTTAGTGTTCTGTATTTTTTACAAGTAGTGCTTTAAAAGAAACTTCATAATCTAACTTAGGTATTAAACATTCTGATTGCAAGACCATCTAAAGTTCACTGCCGTTTTTAATGAAGACTTACTGATACAAAACACACGTCGTTTTTTCCCCAGAGTTTTCTAAGTAAGGCGGAGCTTCCAAAAAAAATTGACAAAAATCATAACGATTGTATCATCATCATGCTTCAGCAGTCCACTGCTGGACAATCAACATATCGCACCCTCGGTGCAACAAAATCACATTTTATTTTATTAGAAAATTGAAAAAAAAAAGGAAACAAAAAAAAAGTCGTAACTTGTGATTATGTCGCACCAGGTACAAATATAATTTAATTATATGAGCGTTATAATGGCACTTTGTTATTTCAATATACGTGAATAAAAATTGTCATTAATACATTTAAGCTGGTGTAGCTCCAAGTCACGACTGACTCATGCGGGCGCGGGGTCACTACTTACCAATCATACTCTGTTCTCCCAATATTCGTCGAAAAAGTAGCAAGAACGACAAAGGCACTAATGCCATCTATCGATATATTCAAATACTTTCGCGGCTGTCTTTGGTTTCTCAAACGAAGAAATGGTTTATAGACAATTTGGCATACTTAAGTCATTTTGGCAATTTTGCCTACTTGTGACTTTGTTGCGCCGAGGGTGCGATATATTTAGCATTTGTATATTGTTTCATAATTATAAAAGAACTATAGCCTGTTTTTTTTTATCGCAGAGACCAAATTGACACATGCAAATATCAAATTTAGAAATAATGATACCAGCTTGACGACCGAATGGCGTAGTGGTTTGTGTAACGGACTGCTATTCCAAAGGTCACGGGTTCGATTCCCGCTCAAGTCAAACATTTGTGTGCATGAACATTTAATGTTTGATTTGGTCTGGGTGTTTCTATGTATAATAAGTATGTATTTACAAAAAAAAAGTGTATATATATTTATATCAGTTATCTAGTACCCATAGTACAAGCTCTGCTTAGTTTGGGACTAGATGGCGTTGTGTGAATGTGGTAGAATATTATTATTATTATTTAGCTCTTTTCCACAGTGATGTACCTACTAGATATATCGGTTTATTAATTCGTAACTTTTTATCTTTATTACACGATAAATTTCAGAAAACGTTTAAGTGTTATCATATTAATTTTTTAATAAATTGAGAAGAGAAGAGAAGAAAAGGAAGCAATAATAAATAATCGTTTAAAACGTCGTAAACAGGTGGGTTTTTTTCTGCTCTACACTTCGACCGACGATAGAAAATATTATAACACAACAACATTGGTTACCAATAAAAAAATGAGGAAAATACCATGTAGAACTACTAATTGAAGAACTTATTTTATTAATTATAGATTCAGATAGGTTGCTTAGGTTGGGTGCTACTTAGGTTATATTACCAAAACGGTTGAGACGGCAAAATTATTAACTTCTTTTTGAATGAAAATATGTCATAGGATCTCTTATGACTTAAAACTGTGATGGTACTAATGTTAATGTTGGAAAATAAGCTGGTGTAACTAAGTGATGGAAAAACATTAAAGAATACATGTTTTCAATATAATTTGCTTGCTGCATATAATGCTGCGATATTTAATTTCTTGTATCGTTGGTGATATCTAACCTAAAAACATTCACCGGTAACATTCGTTAGAAAATTATGAAGAATAAGCCAGATTTCAAAATATTCCAGGAAAATATATGTTTCATCTTTACAAATAATTTCGCGTGGTGACGGATTAAGCATACATAGTGTCACCACCCCTAGTCATCCCGTGGGTGTCGTAAGAGCCGACTAAGGGAGCAAACTATGCAGAATAACAGCACTGCAAAGAGAAGGAAAACCTGAAACAAACCCTATACCAACCCGTCTGGCCAGCGTGGTATAGTTGGGCAAAACCTCCTTCCTATGGAGAGGCCTATGTCCAGCAGTGGACTAGTAAAAGCTGTTAATGATAAAAATAAACAAAATGGAAGTGTCTGTTTGTAATGTCTAAATAATAGGTTTTTTTCATGCTCACACGGTTATTTGCACGATACCTATGCCTAAAAACCAGTTTAATTTTATTTTGTCTATCTGTCTTTTAACTTCGAATTTAACGAAGTCGCGGATACCCGTTAGTTTTATATATAAATGTCTATACCTTATTAATTTTGTATTGTTACGTTTTAAATAAGTACCATCACATTTTATCAGGATAATTTAATATTAAAATAAACAATAACTTGATTTTGTTACGTCAATTTCCAAGTGGCACAACACTATTTAAGAATTGCAAAAAGTAGCAACCCATGTAATGTCAGTTTAGTCTAAGATTAAAAAACAGCCTATAAAGTGTGACTCACCTCGCTCTCTGTCCAATCAATTAGACTAGACTTTTCCTCCAGCAGATTCTCCGAGCTCCTCTTCTCGTCTTCTCCGTCTCCCTCGTCCTTGAAGACCTTGACCTCATCAGTGGAGCCCAGGTCGTCACCGCCCGAGCTCGCCGCCGAACTCGAATGAGCATGCGGCATTTTCACGACCCTAACGCCCCAACTTCCATTATCCCTCTAACACCTAACCTAACCACTATCTGTCATCCATGACAACTTATGCAACCGCCATTTTGTCCGTTTCAAATTCAAATTTCAAACAGTTGACAGTTCAGTTTCTTTTTGCACTTAATTTATAGGCTTAGGCAACTGTTTTTTTTTTACTAAACTAAATGAGATCACAGATAACTTTTGTCAGGTTAAACTTAAAATGCCTATAATTGAGGTGTTCTGTTATATTTTCTGTTGGATTGCATCTGGAACAAAAACAAAAAATATCATTAGTATTTGACTGGCATAGTATCAAGGTCGGAGTTAAATTCAGAAATATATAAAAAAAAAACAAAAACAGTGAGAGACCAATTACAAGAGTTATTTGATATTTTGTTACTTAGGCTTTATTTCTAGACAGTTAAGGTCGATATCAAGTGTAAGTTGGCTACTGTGTGGCTGTATCGTCGTGTGACACATCTTTTAGGTCAAGCTCCTTGTCAAGTGGACGTCAACAGGCGCTCTTGGCTGCGCGCCAAGTGACGGTAAGAACACTCTTCGCGATATATTGAGTAGGAACAAATAATGTAAATATGTATAGGGGATACAGTTATTTTGGAAAAATAAAACTGTCTATATTATCTGATGGGTGTAATATAGAGTATATAGTACTTTAAAGGTGTAACTCAAATATAAGTATATATGACCGTGCCACGTGGCACACACGATCACATCTCAGTGTGTCACAGTCACGTTTTCTAAGTCAACATGACATTTTAGAGTCCAATAACCTCATATCCTAATTTCTGGGTTTCTCTATAATCAGATATCAGCAATTCCTTGGAACATTATCGATTGGCATGTTAGTGGCGAAAGTTCGAGAAATTGAATAGTTTGTATACACACTGATTAACAAGTGTTTATAGCATACTTCTTGTTATTTAACTCTAACATCCGTCCTTATGATCATAGAGATCAGCGATGGTGTTCTAGCCGATTTGTAGTAGGTAAAAGCCGCATATAAAATATAATACTAGTAATATCCGTAAGTATATTGTATATACGGACCATTATCACAATATTTAAAGTAGAAAACTAACATTAAAAGTTATTTTCTCTATTTTCATTCTATGAGACAAAGCAAATAATTTTGGGTTTATGTAAAACCCGTTATCCTGGTGCGTAAACGTATCTATTGCATCATGAAATGGGTTTAAATTGGGCCAGACATGAATTGACTGACCCATTTGTGTTACAGAGTATAAAATAACATTCTACGTAGTCTAGGATACTAGTTGAAGATTCATCAGACCTTTAGACATTGGTCTGTTCCAAAAGCTGGAACTTAGTCGCGAAAGATCTATTAAACAAAAACTGTACATCGGACTGTACGAATCGGATACACCTAAATCTGAAAGTACAATCACGTTACAGATTATTTCCACCGGTGCATTTGCATACCAGAGCATCTTGGGAACGGAGATTATCTTTGACTAACAATCTTGTGGATTTGAGGCTCGATTGCAACCTTGCTTGTGTAAGAAAGCATAGCCATAGCTGTGTCCAGAAACCCAAAACAATAACGATATTCAATATTTGCACAAGTTGCCCAATATATTCTAGACTACTGACTCCCCTTATATGTAACCTGTCAGGTTCATTCGTGACAGGCGAGAACGATGGTATTACGTGCTCTTCCCGCAACGGAAACGCTTGACTTTTTGTAACCGGTAACCCATTTAAGGCTCGGCTTGCGGGATCTTTGCTTCCACTATGTAAGATTGCTTTTTCAGATACTATTAAGTAAAAAGGGCATAGTATGCTAGATGGTGTAAGTTTTCACCGTAACCCCATCCTAAACTACTCCTTGCAATTCTAGAATAAGTTTTGGTCACGATATGTTTACACGACCAATATAACATACGAGAGTGATTCGACTCGCTACGAAGAAAACACTCCGCCGCAGTTTCAAATAAATAGCTTGTCCGCTCGCTCTCTTCGGAAAACAACTTTATCACTATAATTATGTGTACTGTTTACTGACACTGTACTATAATATAACAACAAGATAACGGATAATCTTTTTCTCTAAATTATAACTGGGTTCAACAAATGAGAAAACGATTGCGGCTGTAGAAGACAGCCGCGTCACTATACTACTATTATTTATATGATCTTTGGACTTGGAGGTTATCGGAATACGTGATTCAATGTAACAAACTCACACGGTCTCTCTTTCTATCTGTAAAGCAGTTTTGACCTTTTTGTTTCAATTATACATCCAATTAACAAAGTTTTACTAAACTCTTTTTTAAACTTATCCTAGATAAGTCCTATTTGTAAAAAGCATTGTTATATGTTAAATTTCAATAACGGGAAAATAATTTGACGTAAAATTAAATGTGTTTCAGTATCATACACACTATTTATATATATCTGTGTGGTGACGGATTAATAATACTTAGTGTCACTACCCCTGTAAAACCGCCTAAGGGAGCAAACTACGCATAACAGCACTGTAAAGAGAAGGAAAACTTGTCACAAACCCTACAACGACCCGTCTGGCCAGCGTGGTATAGTAGGCTAAAACCTCCTTTCTAAGGAGAGGCCTATGTAAAGCAGTAGACTATTAAAGGCTGTTGATGTGATGTGATAAACACTTACTAACCCCTTGAACTGTACACCTATGAGCTTTTTTTATGGAAGAGGGGGCAAACGAGCAAATGGGTCACCTGATGGAAAATACTACCGCCGCCCACGAACGTCTGCAAACTCAGGAGTCACAAGCGCGTTGCCGGCCTTTGAGGATAGAGTACGCGTTGTAATTTTTTGAGTTTGTTCTAAATCAAATACATATAATCTAGAAAGTCTTTTGTATGGAAACAGACTCTATTACATAAAAACAGCTACCTTAGTTGGTAAATTTTCTTGTATTCTATTTCTTTTAAACTTTAGCAATTTAGGAATTCTTGATCGTCTTCATATCAAACGGATAATAGTACCAGATTACCAGACCTTTAAAATTACGAAGTATTTCGATGAAATATCCAGGGAAAACTGCATCAAACCAGCTTTGGAAACTATATTATATAGGACAATCATAGTTTTTAATGCTTGGTCAATTGGTCAAGCCATTATTAGAAACGGTTATGCTCATACGCATATAATTATTTGAACCGCAGTTCTGCAGCAAATACAAATGTTCTAATCCCAGTACTTGAACAGTTAATAAAGCCATATGGATCAGTACAGGTTAATACACCTTTTTTATAAATAGGACAATCAAACGTGCATGTGTTGAATTGTTATACAAGCTTGCCGTTTTTTGGTGATGTTATGACTAGTATAAATACGACTAATGTTTTTATAATACAGGTAGGTATTACACGGTTTTTAGTATCAGAATAAGTGTCAATACATGCTACCATTTTTAGTGTACGAATGGCATACAATCATTTGTGTTCAGGAAAAGCATACATAGCAGAATAAATTGTTGCTTAGAAACTGCGTGTGGGATAATAAAATAGCGCTTAACTGATATAAGTAAATACCTTATAAGGTGTTCACATTCGAGTTAGAGAATAAATAACACGTAAACAATTTGTATTTAATTTTAGTAAGTTTGATGTTCTCTCTATCTATGCTAATATTATAAAGGGGTAAAGATTGTGATTTTGTATGTTAGGTGTAATCCCCGGTACTACTGGTCTGGATTAAGAAAAACCTTCAGTGTTGAATAATCCATTTAGCTAAAAATACTATAGGAATCCAAGCCAAAAGTGTTGCAAAGACGGAGAAAATTTATGCCTATTGCGAAGTTGCGCGGGTCAGCGAGTTTCTTTTACAACTAACACAAAACTCTTGTCCTTCAAACTGTAAGCGATTACCGCGTCTTTACACGATCGCAAAACCCGTGACAACTTATATTGGCAACCCCATTCAATTCACCTGTTTAATACACATATTGTAAGAGGAAAATCGTAGTATACAATTGCAAGTTGAGTATATTTTCCACGCTAAACCTAACACTGTGACCTGATTAATGCAGTAACACAGTATTGCACTACCATCGACAAGGCGCTGCATTCCGAATGTGAAAACAGTTTCAGCTGTCGTGGGAAGATGATTTTGTATACATATTTGTGTATTTCCTTACTTTGCCGAAGTTTGCCGGAGATAAGCAAAATTGATTAAGTAGAGCGGTAACAAAACTATAAATCGGGTAACTGACTTCGTAATAAGTATTTTTTTCATAATTTATAATGGGCGCATAAATACATTAAACACTTAATGTCAAATAATTAAATAGCAATTTCGCTAAAATAATTTTTGTGTTTTTTTTTTTCCATGTCTGATAAGCAAGTAATGGAGAAAGCGGGAGTCGTGGTCTATCAAGTGGTCAAATTGAGCGCAGGAAATACAGAGGCGTGGCGATTGCTCTACCGACAAGGGCTTGGCTCCTAAATTGAGAGTAAGAGACTGATGATGGCACTGTGACTACTGAGATGACAGTATAACGGATAACCTTGGCAACAAGAATAAAAAGACTGTATTTTAGAACACAATACTCTTTGTTTAAAACTGTTTTAAGTAAAAAACCGGCAAACAAACTAAGCTGCATATACATAATGTTATGTATATATATGTACATTTAACTTGCATGTGTAAAATACAACAATGATGTCATGCAAGTACGTAAATTAAAATTCACATTAATTTACATGTTTATTTTCTAGCTGATGGGAAATGCAATCCACCTGTGTTGAATATGCTACTGTAGCAGCAGCCAAGCGGTGGAGCAAACAGAATGAGAATACGTAGCCTGATCACCGATGCCTTCGATGTAAATTTCTGAAGGAAGTGAAGCCGATGACTGCGATGCTAATGAGAAGTTGTATTTCTACAGAAGATAGATCACCGTTACATTAATGTGCTGATCAATAGGAGTTGTTAGAGCTCAACCGAGAGCAGGCATAGGGTAACCAACGACAAAAAGAGCAACCACCTAAATAATATTATCCATGCCCCCCTGAAACATTGTAATTTTGGTTTACTATCCTTCATTTAAGTTAAAAATTTCATTATAAATCCAAACACTAAAGATTTTTTTTACACTCATTTACTTTTGTTATGAGGCATGTAGGAACGTACATCACTGAGTCGATTGTTTAAGAAAAAAAAAAACGCAATTTGATAACGTCACCGGATTCGTTTTCGTAACACCTGCGCCTGCGCTGGTTTTTGCGTTCAAAATATTCCGATAATA